TTTATTTTTAAAGAACGTATTTGTAGGAAGGTAAAGTTTACCTTTGACAGAGGAGAGGAATGAGGAGTCCATAGGACAGCTAGAATCTGAGGCAGGTGCTTTATACCACCAGAATGTGTCTTCTATCTATCTTCATTTCACACAGTGTGGCAAATTGAAGCTGGGCAAAATGCACTGTTGTAAACTGTGGGGAATGGGAGCCTGGATTCACCAAAGATGGCACAAGGAGTTGTAAATTATGCTCCCTGCACCAGCACTGCCCTGTCTGCTAAAGGAGAGATTTACCCCGCAGAGGGCAGACAGTGTTACCTTTGGCGCCCGCTGCTCAGGGATTTGTAGGAAGCTTTTAAAGCTCGGGGATCTGTCTCACTTTGATGAAATTTTCTTTGGCAAAACTCACTGTAAGCTTAGGGTGAAACCTGACCTCACTGAAATCATTGATGCCGATGATTAATTGATAGTGTTTTTGATCCCTAGATCTCAAAAACAAAGGTGGTTGATTATCATTATCCCCGTTTTACAGATGGAGACGTTTTGCTGGCCAATGTAGTGGGAGATCCCAGGAAGCAAAGGTGGCCTTACATCACCTTAGGTGCTATCCTGACCCCAGTAAAGTCAATGGAAATTTTGCCACTGATTTCAGTAGGTCCAGAATTTCACCCCTTGACTCCTCCTCTCCTTAATCCTTGGTGCAGCCAAGCATCAGACCAATCCTTGGCATGAGCCTGCTTAGACTTATATCCACCTCCCTAAGGCTTAAGGAGCAGTTCTGGTATCTAGGGATTGCCAGGGTATGGGGTGCCTCATCCATGCCCACTTCCCCCCCCACATGCCTCTTACAGGGTGTGGGGTATATAGGTGGCGGGTGTCCAGAGAACCCAAGAAGAATCTCCATATGGTTAAACAATAACTTTATTTTAGTTTGCCAAGGCCAATATTTTGAATATTTGTTATAAATCAAAACATGTTTGGGAAATGATTCTTTAAAAAAAAATCTCTGCCTTATTTATGACTTTGATTTTTCATCTGCAGTACCATATATTGCTTTTGGAGATGTAAATGATATCAGGTAAACCAGTTTGCCATTAATAGTGCTGCAGAGATCAAGAAAACACAGCAATGTTAGTGAGATACGATGGAAAAAAGTTTCATTATTCTTCCTTAAGTTAAAAACAAATGCTGTGGCAGACAAACAAATCACATCTCCTAGCTGAGTTTGGCCATGACAACTGTACGCCTCTATCAGACTATCCGGTGCATTCTCAGTGGAGTTAGCATTTTGGGACATTTTATTCAATGCATTCAGTGTAGTTACCGCAGATGTTTCATTGTAGCAAGGAAGTAGAAAAATGACAGGAAAATAAGACATCATTAGCTATGTTCTCAAGTTTTTGGTACACTGGCCATATTCTGCTTCAATATTCTTTTTTCCCTTTGACATTTGCAGTAAAGTATCATTTTTTGGTAATGGCTGAATCATGTTATGGTTTGTCAAAGAGACTGTGCAAAATGCTAAGTAATGCATGCCTAATTGAACATTCTAATATAAGTGTGCTGCACTGATTGCACTTCAAGTATTTAAAGAGAAAGTATTCCTACCTGTGCTATTAATAAACTTAAATTAAGATGCAAACAATGTTTAAACTAATTAAATTTGCACCATTTATGCTGTGTATTTTTTGCATTTTGCTAAGATTCAACAATAAAAATAGATTTTAAAGTAATGCTAAGTATCCTCTAGCAGCTTTTTAAACCATAGTTCTCAAGCACTTTGCAAAGGTAGATAAATATCATTATCCCTCTTCTACAGCAGGAGAAACTGAGGCACAGAGACATGTGATTTGGCTATGGTCACACAGCAAGTTAATGGCAGATTCCTAGTCCTAACAATTTTAATTAGTCAATGTCATTTTTGTTTAGTTTATAGTTAGTTATTGCTTCTGGGTATCATGCATTGCAGTGTTTGGGTTACACACACTGCAGGACAATGTGAAGTGATTTATGGTCCAGAAGGTTTGTGTGAGGTGTAATTTTGCTGTCTTGGTGGCAGTGCCATAAGTTTGTAGAAACAGTTTGTGTCTGAGCTTGTATCAGACTCTGTTCTCTGCTACCAGTGCTGAAGTTTTCTTCCTTCCTGCTTTTTCAGTTACAGGTCCTTGTCTGAGAACCATGGTGGTCTGTGGTCCAGGAGAAGGTGCTTGGGTGCAAGCGTGTCTATAGCTATATTCAAAGACTAGTTGTAGCTCCTCACTTATTTTTCTCTTCTTTGGACTCTTGGGTAGTTTTCTATTATTAAGTTTTGGAATTTGGCAGGGTCCAAGATTTTTTGGAGTAGTAATAAAGATCAGGTATCAGTGATGATATTATTAGATCTATCATTTGTTAATCATGAGATGTTGCTGACTCACCTGTGGACGTTAGCAGAAATACCGAGGCTGCTCTTTGATGGTTTTGTTCTTTTCTCGCTGGTAATCTCAAATGCCACGCTTAACTCCAACAAATACAGCAAGTTGTTATTTGAGTTTTTTTTCAAAGATGGACTGGACTAGGTCATGGGGAAAATATGATTCAGTGGATTTTATTTTATTTCTTCCTAACTTGAGTTCATGTTCCCAACCTTTAAATCTGAGGGTGTAAGTTATGACCCCGCCATCATTCCTTTATTTGATTCTGCTTTTGTATTGCTGAGTTTCCAAATCCTTATTCATTCATAAATTGAGCTTAGCTAATAATTGATTCTTTAGTTCAATGGCTGAACTGAAAAATATGAAAAAAAGAATCTGGTTAGTTTAAAACAAAAACTGTTTCATGAATGTATGTATGTGTGTTTGTATTTACTGGTTTCTCTCTCCAAAACAAAAAATGTAGGCCATAGCAAACATGCTTTTGATCCTACTCCAAAAATACATTGTGTAGAAAATAAGGGGGAAAATGCCCAGAACTTATATTGGATAGATTTATTTTTTAAAAGAAGAAAGTGTGTATAACTTGACCCAACTCTTTTGGCAAATGTTTTTGTCTTATTAATGGGAGAAAAATATACAAACCCAAATTCATTTTATTAATTTACCTTTGCAAAGGCTTGTTGTAAGATATAACCATAATTAAAGAAGTTGAAGTTGCAATGTTTTCCACCTCTATGGAAGTGACTTAAATAGTACTTGATTAGTGGGCCTGTGTGACTAGATCATCTTCCCTCCTTTAACTTCTGGTCACGTGCTTGCCTCCATTTCCCTACACTGGTTGACTTGCTGTCTCCCTTGGTAGTCCTTCAGCTCTCAGCACTATTGTCTCACTGAGGTGAGTTAGCCCTTTGGAAGAGTCTACCCCATCTGGAATTAACAAACAGACGTCCAACACAACAAAACAGACATCCATCAACCTTGCACTGGGTCTGCCACTTACTCCAGGCTCAATAGCCCTTCTGCCCAACATCTAAGGGGGTTTCTCACCACCTTCCTTAGTAACGTTGTAGGGAATGTAGACCCTCCCTCTACTCTGGGTCCAAGGCCAGGCACTCTGTAGTAAGTGGAGAAGGTCCAGCGTCTTTGATTCCTTGCTACACTTCCCTGGACCTTTCTTTCCCACAGACTTTCCTGAGCCTCCTAGTGCTTCCTACCACCCCTCTGATTTATTGTAGGAGACCCTTCCTGCTCCCTGTCCTTAGGGTAGGTAGGTCTTTTTCTCTCTCTACCCTAGTCTGCTGGCCAAAGGAGCTGAGCTGGTACGGAGGAAGGAGATTAGTAATTTGGTGATAGTATAGGCCAGCAGCAAATTACTAGGTTCTGTGGAGCAAGTAGGGAGCAGGGAGGCAATTGTGTCTCCCTGAGTCAGCAGCATGCTGTCCCTTCTGTGAGCCATATCCTTGTGGTACAATCCAGCCCTTAATCTTTTACAGGACTCCCCCCAGATTCATCCCTGATATAACTTCAGACGATTGAGTCTTAGGGGTCCTTACAAAACAAAGGATTTTCCTGCCACTGAAAGATGGTTGCTGGGTCTCACTTATTTTTTTTTCCTTATCCTTCTTCCAACATTTTCAGTCCTGGCGGCTTTCCCAATTTTGTCTCTGCGTTTTTCTGAGGTTTGCTTCCCATTTTTTATTCTTATTTTTCTTTCTCCTTTTTTTCTCAATCTCTTCATGCTTTTCTCCCATTTCACTCCTCTTCTCTCTCTCTTTCTCCCGGGACCTTCTCCACTTCCTTCATTCTGTTTCAGGATTTTCTGTCCTCTTTCCTCTTCCCTTATTACTTTGACACCTTCTCATCTCTTGTGCTTCTACCCCACTTTTTACCAGAGGAATCCATTGATACCTGAGACATATCTGTGTGCTCCTGTAAAGCAGAGAAGCTAAAATAAGATCTGGCCACACTTTGCTCCCTGAACTGCAGAGCCCCTCCTCAGTGGGAATAATCTTCTTCTCCATTCCCATTTTTCATCCTGCCTCATGTGGGTTAATGAGAGAAAGGAGCTGAGGGAAGAGACAGCCCTTGGAACTCAGAAACCCCCCTTGTTTATTTCTTTACAACCAGTGCTGTGGGCTGAATGGCAGAGACAGTCACGTGTAGCTGGAGCCTCTGTTTCCCCTGAACCAATCTGGCACCCTCTTAGGGGACCCAGCACCTAAGCCTAGCACCATCACAATAGTGAGAGTTGGTGCCTAACTCCCTTGTGGCTTGGCTTTTGAACTGTTATGATGATCATTAAGCCCTTTGTTACATTTTAAAAGCCCTAAAGAGTAAATAACTGTTTGTACATCTTCACATTTCATGTAATTTGTTTTAAAGTGCTCAACATTAAAGTTCTTCTTTGGGATGCCTGTATGTGGTTTCCATACTTCACTAGGAATCTTCCACAGACATCCAGGGGCAGAGCTTGGCCCTAAGCGTTGTTCCTTACGTTGTTCATCCTTTTAGTTTTAATCTATTAATCATTTTTAAGCTCATTTTTTTCTTCTTACTTTTTATTATTATTTGTGTCATTTACATTTTATTTTTCAGACACCACTCATTGAACCTCACATCCCACTTCGTCCTGCTAAAACTATTACACAGGTAATGGGTACATAGATGTGCCGGGGAGCTAGGCTGCTGTGCAAATTGAAATAACTGATGGTAGCAGTTTTCCAGTATGGGGGCATGATATTCAGCTAATACCATGGTGATGCTTTGCTTTGGGCCTTTGAGTATCTTAGACTTAGAGTCCTCACTATTTTAGTGTTCTTCACAGTTGACCATTTGTGCAGAGGCTTTTATTTTATGGGGGCTTGGATGGTATTTTTTCTTTCAGCAAGCTGTATAGTCAGATATTAAAAATGTTTAACATCTGTTCATTTTGTTCCCTTTATTCTTCATCTTCACCAAGGTGCCATCAGAAAAGATCCTCAGAGCGGGAAAGATTTTACGCAATGCAATTCTTTCCCGAGCACCTCATATGATAAGAGATCGTAAATATCATCTGAAGACTTACAGGTGTGTGTGAGCTGATTGTGTAAAGGGCTTGGAACTTTTACATCTACCATCCTCTGACTTGTGATTTATACCTTACCATGCCTGCAGGTCTCAAAAGGTCTGAAATTATTCTGGGTGTTATACAGTGTTTAATGTTCTTGGTAAATCCTTTCTAGGTAATTTGACTGGAAATTGATTGTGAACGAAGCATACATATAAAACCCCTATAAAAGTTAATATTATGGTTAGCTGGAATATTTTACACATCAGGGTGAAAATATAGATCCAGGTCTTTTGGTGTATCACTAAATAATGAATGAAAATCTCATTAAAAGACTGTGCTACTGTATTGATCCCAAAAGAGCTGCACCCATTTTGCTCAATGTGGAGTTCTGAAAGTTCACATAGTGAAATGCGGTTTTCACATCATATAAATTCTCAGGTCTATTTGAAATTAAACTTTTCAGTTTACAGTCAGTCTTTCTGATCTTCCTTTGGGTGGCAGCACTGTCTTGCTGAAAGGGGACTTTTGTGACACTGGCAAGATAGGCGTTGAAAGTCCAGAACTATAAATGAGTCTTCATCATATTGTTTTGCTGGATTAAGAAACATTTGAGTAGCTTTACTGTTTAATATTTAATCCAAATGATTCATACGTGATTCTGAGTATACAGAAAGTGGTTTACAATCTCTAAGTACTTCCACTCTTGATAGTTAATCAATGTATCACTGATCTACTTTTTCAGAGAGATACTTTTCCATTAGATTTCAGTCTAAAATTGACTGACATTAATTTGATGTATTATAAACCAGTGAGAAATTTGGAACACTTGTGTTTATCGGAATGATTGTAGCAATAAGAGTTTCTGAGGTTATAGTTCCTTATTTCAGAATACTTATGAGAGAGATACCCTGGCAGCATGCACGGTGCATGCAGGTCGGTGCTGTGGAAGCTCCTCCATACAACTCTGCCAATTTACCTTAAGCAAAAAACACTTGCTATTCTGTTCTTCAGCCTCTTGAATAAAGACTACCAGTGCTATAGAACTGTGTCAAACTGGGTGCTGTTTATGTCATGGGGGCAAATCTCTAAGATGAGAAATATTTTTTTCTTGCGATCGAATTGGGATACAACAGGGGTCGGCAACCATTCAGAAGTGGTGTGCCGAGTCTTCATTTATTCACTCTAATTTAAGGTTTTGCGTGCCAGTAATACATTTAAACGTTTTTAGAAGGTCTGTCTCTATAAGTCTATAATATATAACTAAACTAGTGTTGTATGTAAAGTAAACAAGGTTTTTAAAATGTTTAAGAAGCTTCATTTAAAATTAAATTAAAAGGCTGATCTTATCAGTTTAGTACAGTGGTTCTTAACCTGGGTGCACACACCCCCTGGGGGTGCAAGATGCCCTTTCTGGGGGTGCGAAACACGCAGGGCCGGCTCTAGGCACCAGCAAAACAAGCTGGTGCTTGGGGCGGCATGGCTGGCGCCAGAATGCCGCCCCTAAAAATGTGCCCCGGCCTCCCTAGCTCACCTCCGCTGCTGCTGCCATGGCGCGCGAAACAGCTGATTCGCGGGCCGCGGCGGCTTGGGGTCTCAAACCTGGGAGGGAGGGGGAGATCCTGAGCGGCCGTTTCGTGCGCCGCTGCTCCCCCTCCCTCCCAGGCTTGGGAGCCAGGCTTGAGAGCCTGGGAGGGAGGGGGAGAAGCGGCGCCCGCGCCGCGGCCACTCGGAGTCTCCCCCTCCCTCCCTCCCAGGCTCTCAAACCTGGGGGGGGGGAGACTCCGAGTGGTCGCGGCGCGGGCGCCGCTTCTTCCCCTCCCTCCCTCCTAGGCTTGAGAGCCTGGGGGGGGAAGGCAGGGCTGGGGATTTGGGGAAGGGGCAGAGTTGAGGCGGGGCCGGGGGGGGGGGAATTAAAGAACCGGGGGGGGAGGGGGGGCGGCCAAAGTGTTTTTGGTATGGGCGGCCAAAAACCTAG